AATCGGACGAAGATATATATGGGAGCTATAACTAAATTTTGACCGATTATCTCCAATTTCAACAAGGTTCGTGGGTCGAACAAATGATCTGTGCAAAATTTCAACTGGATCGGGCAATAAATGCGACCTGTACTTTGTTTACAAAAATACATGGACAGACGGACAGACAGACGGACATGCATAAATCGACTCAAAATGTGATTCTATGCTGATCACCAAAAGGAACTATGGGTCTATCTTGTTTCCTTCTCCATGTTACAAACAAATGCACAAAGACATAATACCCTTACCACAATGTGGTGTAGGGTATAAAAATACCGAATATTGGGACATGCGGACTTAGGCGCACCTACCCTATACAGAAAAAAAAATGAAAATATTTGAGAAAACATAATTTGAGCCCAAGCTAATATCATTAAAGCCTACTATGATATAATTATTTGATATGAGTATAGTTTGCCTAAGTGTAATGATGATGACTTTAGCAAAACTCGCTAGAAATGCAAAAAACTCAATAACAAAGTACCTAGTTATGCGAAAATAAAATTAATCTTTAATTTGTTTAAAAAAAACAAAAAAATACTATGAATCCATGCCAAGAATGCTATGAAAATTCCAATCCACATCGTAATCCAATAAATAATTTATTTACATAAATCGAATTACCGATTATCATTTTGTTGGCAAACGCTGCTGAAAATTCATCTCCATCGTCATGATATCTTTTTTTTTCTGCTGTTTGGCATTATTATTGTTGTTGTTTTTCTGTCGGTTTCGAAACTTAATATGGCAAATTATTATGTTTTAAGTATATTTGGAAAAGAAATGAATTTATACAGCCATCACACAGACACACTGACACACACACACACATCCATTCATAAGCGTATATAATAAAGCTAACGTCGTCGCTGCCGCCAACATTATTTTCTGTTATACATAAATGATTGCTGATAAATGTTTGAGAGGAAGAATGGCTGAGCACCAACACGGCCCTGGAAACATTTATGGGGAACAGCAACAACAACAACAGTATCGACAAATTCAACTAAAACGATGCAATTATTATGCTTTTCACGATGTGCTGGTCTGCCATGGTAAAATGAATGAATGAATGGATGACTTGTCGGGAGAGAGAAAAAAAAAACAAATAAACACACCAGAGACAACAAAACTGGCTCTGAAAAAAAATGGAGTCGATGATAAACACAACAACAATATCTCAATGGGCAACTCCCCAAGAAGAGAGATAGAGAGAGAGAGAAACAACAATGTATTCCCCATTAATAAAATAAAAAAAAACTCTAACTGAACTGTAAAAGGGGCTTCGTTGAATGTGTGTGAGAGAGAGAGAGTAAGAAATGTGACGCATGAATATTTGAGCTAAGAGAAAATTTGAAATAACGCAATAAGAGAATGCATCGAAAGAGAACACAAATGCTGGCAAAAAAATTAGATATTGTCAGAGATGGAAATTAATTGTACAAATATCGCACAGATTGGTGATATTAAAAAAAAACAGAGCTTAATTAAAAAAATACAATTCGTGTCTTTGAATAACACAAAATTCGAAGCTGATTTATGCATATTCATAAATCCGTTTGACCATGTATTTTCGTAAGCAATATACAAGTGGCAATTATTATACCCTCATCCATATGGCTAGAGAGGGTATATATCATTTGATACGGCGAAAACGTGCCTCATCGAAATAACGATTTTAGACCCTAGGTCTCTTTGGACCAAATCCGTTTCAGGACATTTGGAGTCGATCCAGCAATGTCCGTCTGTCCGTCCGGCAGTCTATCTGTTTTGTGGGCACGATAACTCTCGAAGGGAACATCCAATTTGTTCCAAACTTGGTACATCGTAATATTATTATCAAACTTAGATCTAGTTCGAAGATGGGCAATATCGGTCCACTCCTTCTGGTAACACGCCCAAAAAAGGTCAAAATTTCCAAAAAATATATTTCACTGCACAGAAAGAGAAAGGATTAACCGATTTTGCTCCAACTATGAAAATCCCAATATTTCCATCAGTGCTAGGTAAGGTGCGAAAATGGACAATATCGATCCACTCTATCAAATACCTCCCCCACAAAGGGCCAATATTTTGAACAATTATAACTCTCATAAAATGTGATGTAAGAGTCCGATTGGCTTCAAATTACACACTTGCCAATATTTTTATTAAGCCAAGACTTGGTACGAAGATAGGATATATCGGCCCACTCATTCTGGTACCTCCCCCTCAAAGAGTCAAATTTGTGAATACCCGTTTGAAGATGGGCAATATCGGTCCACTCCTTCTGGTAACACACCCAAAAAGGTCAAAATTTCCAAAAAATATATTTCACTGCACAGAAAGAGAAAGGATTAACCGATTTTGCTCCAACTTTGAAAATCCCAATATTTCCATCAGTGCTAGGTAAGGTGCGAAAATGGACAATATCGATCCACTCTATCAAATACCTCCCCCACAAAGGGCCAATATTTTGAACAATTATAACTCTCATAAAATGTGATGTAAGAGTTCGATTGGCTTCAAATTACACACTTGCCAATATTTTTATTAAGCCAAGACTTGGTACAAAGATAGGATATATCGGCCCACTCATTCTGGTACCTCCCCCTCAAAGAGTCAAATTTGTGAATACCCATGAAGCTCATAAAACGCGAAAATTACAATCGATTCCATTCAGGTTTGGCACATCTCAATAATTCCACCAATACAAGATCTGTTATAAAGATGGTGGAGATCTGGCCATTCTTTCTGGTACCTCCTCCTTAAAGGGTCAATGTTTTGAATAACCAAAACGATTATAAAATCCGAAATATGCATCCGGTTATCTTCATATTTCAAACATCGCATTATTTCTGCTAACACAAGATCTGATGTGAATATGAGATATATCGGTCTGCTCCTTCTGGTACCTCCTCCACAAAGGGCCAAAATTTTGAATATTCATGAAGATCATAAAACGCGAAATTAACCTCCGATTCCACTCAGACTTGATACATTTCAATATTTCCATTTTAACAAGAACTGTTAAAAAGATGGTAGAGATCGGTTCATGCCTTCTGGTTACTCCCCCACAAAGGGTCAAAGTTTTGAATGATAAAAACGATTATAAAATCCGAAATATGCATCCGGTTATCTTCACATTTCATACATCGCATTATTTCTACTAACACAAGATCTGATGTAAATATGAGATAAATCGGTCCACTCCTTCTGGTACCTCTTTCATAAAGGACCAACATTTTGAATATTCATAAAGATCATAAAACACGAAATTAACCTCCGATGTTATTCAGACTTGGTGCATTTCAATAACATTAACAACAACATTTCAAATCATTAGCAAAATACCGAGTATCGATGGGTATCGGTATATGTGCGCAATAGAAAAACGTAGACCTAAATTTTAATGTCCTGGCGACGGAGATAGAACCCAATATGAGCTACAAATATCAATTTTTAAAAAATCCGTGGAAAAAAATGTTGCAAAAATCATCAAAAGTACTGAATATATGGAGGTAGCATTATGTGATGGCTATACACAAACGTGGACCTATACATACTATGTTCCACCACAGGAGCTAGAATCCATTACGGACTATAAATAACAATTTTTGGACAAATCCGTGAAAAATTGTGGCAAAAATACCAATTCTTGGACAAATCCGTGAAAAAATGTGGCAAAAATCATCAAAATACCGAATATCTGGAGGTACCGTTATATGGGGGCTTTCCCAAAACTTGTGCATACAATGTATGCATACAATTTTTCGCCACCGGAGCTAGAACCCATTATGACCTACAAATATAAAATTTTGTACAAATCCATGAAAAAATAAGGCGAAAATCGTTAAAATACCGAATATCAGGAGGTACCGTTATACGGCGGCTATACAAAAACGTGGTCCGATGTATCTGATTTCCAATATCAACCATCCTAGACACAATACAAATTCTCCTGCCAAATTTTTAAGCTCTACGTCAAGTAATGTGGGCTGTATCGTGGTTTCAACAGACAGACGGGCAGACAGACAGACGGACATTCTTATATCGAATTTTATGCTGATTATGAATGTATATACTTTATGTTACAAACGGATCGACAAAGTTAATATACCTTCCTTTTCAAGATGGAGGGTATAAAAATATGAAATTGAATACGTATCTAAAAAAAAGTCATTTATTACTTATAAAGCCCAAAAGCACATATAACATGTGTGTTTAGCCTTCAATGTGTAACATCCATCTCTGATAAATCGCAATATCCGTTATAAACATGGTATAAAGAGAACAGATAGCCAAAGAGAATAAGAATTTACCCCAAATAGAATGAGCAAACCATATTCTGATAAGAGAAAACGCAAATTCTGATTGGTTGGACTCGCTGCCACAAAAATTATCTTTCTCTCAACTGAGAAAACGGAAAATGAGACAAAATATATTAATTTCTCCTTGGCATACATTGGGATATATTAAGCAGGCCACACCCCCAATCGTAAATGGAAATAATTGAGATTTGATATCCGAAATAAACACACCCATTCTCATATTTTTCTTAAGCAATGGCCTCATTATTTGTTTTTCTTGCCTCATGGCTGTTTTTGTTTATGTTGCAGCATGAAGTTTAATATCCAAGCCATGGGGAATGAGGGAGTAGCAGCAGCAGCGGCCATGGCAGCAGAGTAGATGAACGAACACTTATTATACATAACATCAAATAATATGGATTTAATGGGATAAACGACGTTGGCCATAAAAACCCCCCAAAACAGCAGCAACAACAACAACAGCAGCAGAAGTAGTAGCAAAAACAACAATCGAATATTCAGCTCTGCGGCCTCATTTAATAAATGGTATAGTTATTATCTTGCATTAAAAGCAGTTTATAACAATCACATAAACATAGCAAAAATAGAGCAGACCAGCAGCAGAGTAGCTCCACTCCTCCATTTTGGGAATATAAAAAAATATGCTGATACTCTATGTCATAAAAATAAAATTTATTACTTGTAACAAAATGTATGTAGGTATATATATACAAAAGAGAAACCAGGAGATGTAGTGGCGGAGCAATCAAATTAAGTCATTAAAACCATCACCAACATCCTTCTGCTCCGTTATTACACCCCCCCCCCCCCCAAACCAGAGCGTGTTAATCTCTACCGAATTTATGTGTCTCCTTGGGTTTATCCACTCGCACCACACGCTCAGCCACATTCAGGTAAGCCTCATATTCCACAATCTCAGGTGTGGTGTCGTAATGATAGTGGCCACCCCAGTTTGAGTTGGAAAAGGAATGGAAATGCTGCAAACGTAAATCCAGATCCTATAATAAAATAAAAAAAGACGTAGCAATATTAAGATAGACCATATTAATCTCCTGCTGCCGTGAAACAGTCAGCCAGCCAGTTAGCCACTAAATCAATTGGTGGACTGGCGTACAGCTTACATTTTCATGAGTTATCAGTGTGCCCAGGGCAGTTAATGTTGCTGGCATCTCATAGAACTTCAGCCATTGATTAAGCTCATGTTCGTCGACAATGGGCGTCCTACTGAAATCTCTCATGACGTGCTGATGCGCCTTGCCTTGATTAATTTTAAACATGCCACCCATTCCTAGACAAAGAGAAAAGAAGGAATAAAGGTAATGAAAAAAAAAAAGATAAAAAGAAAATCAGTTGTTGCTACTTACCCACACATTTATCCTGGTACTTTTCCAAGAGACCTTGGCGTATACATTCAATGAAATTCAAATGACCGGTACGTTTTTTACAGCTAATCTTCAAAACCTGACCCGGCTCACCGCGACAAACAAACAAATTCAGCAGAAGAGCACAGCGGGGTTCCGTATCCGGAATGGCTTCCAAAACACAGCTCTCCTCCAAACCTGAGACTTTTGCTGTATAGCTACCGTTTTTGAGTTGGCCTTCCGCTGAAATACTCATGTTGTAGATACCCTCGCAATTGGAGTTGCGCAAGGGATAGGGACCGGCGCCGGCACCAACTGTAAAATGGAAAAGATATCGAGGTTTAGAATTTATTAACAGGATCCTTAAAAGCCTTTTAGGTGCCAAAGAAGTCTTAAAGGTCTTGAAGGTCTATCAAAGAGTTTTTTTTAGCTATAAAAGGCATCCTAATGGTATTCTATCTCTTTATATCCCTTTCTATCTCTAGGAGACGACTTACAAATTTTGAACTTCTAGAAAACCTCTAAATAATTGTTCTAGGTGTCGAATATATCTTAAATATCTGCTATTTCTAATAGATATTTTGAATGACTTGTAGCCACGGAAAACTCTTAAAATTCTTCAATCCATAGGAGGACTTTCAATGATTTTCTTTTTCTATGAGACCTCTTGGGTGTATTTCTTCGGAAAATACCTTCGAATATTTTAGATAAGCTTCCACTTCACGAGTCCATTTTAATTCCTGCTGAAAAAGACGGAATATCCCTTCAATTTTTTTTTATAAATTGGGGGTGAAGCCATTAGTAATCCAAAAAATCATTCCTATAGAAAATGTTATTCGGATAATATATTCCTATAGAAAATGTTATTCGGATAATATTTTCCTATAGAAAAGGGTATCCGGATAATGTTTTCCAATAGAAAATGTTATCCGAGCAATGTTTTCGTATAGAAAATGTTATCCTATGGAAAATGTTGTCCGGATAATGCTTTCCTATAGAAAATGTTAGCCGGATAATGTTTTTGTACCGAAAAGTACTTCTTCCATAGAAGCCTTTAAAAAACAAACATGGAAAACATTTAAGATGTATATTATCTATAGACCTCTTCTAGGTATTATATCTGTAGGAGATGACCTTCGAAGTCCTTAATGGATTCTCTCAGGAGCCCTTAAAGAATTTCTATCCCAAGAATTACTCTTAAAGGATGTCGTTCACATAAACAACCATCTAGCCTATTTCATAGCAACCCTCCTATGAACCTTTCAAAACACTTCTACCGCTGAGAACCATCCAAAAGTATTTCTATTTATCGAAGAGATATTTACAAGGAACATACATACCAGCCAAAATTTTGCCACCACCCATAGTTTTCTGGCAGATTTCCTTAACGTTGTATAGCTTTTCGCGTTGCACCAACGGCAGCAGATAAGGTGGGCCACCCAGCTCCAGAAGAGTGGGAGAACCACCCAAACCTGGAAAAAGTAAAATATTAATAGAACGGAGATACGAAATACTTATTTTAACTTACCCGAATCCATTAGCCCATATTCCGGCGTCTTTAAATCGGGACAGTCGGTAATCTCTACGGTCACATTTTCAAAATTTTTAACTAGTGCTGACTGTATAACTGTTTGGATGCAAAATAGAGGGATTAACATTAATTGGCCACAGGTCATAGTTAAAGGTTTGACGGACATTTGTATGGCAAAAAGCTTTAGCCGGGGATGGAAAACTTTCAGTACAGGAATGATCATTTCAAATATCCGGATAACTTTTTCCCATAGAAAATGATGTTTTCCTATAAAAAATATTATCCGGACACTGTTTTCCTATAGAAAGTGTTATCCGGATAATGCTTCCATATAGAAAATATTATCCGGATAATGTTTTCCTATAGAAAATGTTATCCGGATAAGTTTTTCCCATAGAAAATGATGTTTTCCTATAGAATATATTATGCGGATAATGTTTTTCTATAAAAAATATTATCTGGACAATGTTTTCCTATAGAAAATGTTATCCGGAAAATGCTTTCATATAGAAAATATTATCCGGATAATGTTTTCCAACAGAAAATGTTATCCGGATAATGTTTTCCAACAGAAAATGTTATCCGGATAATGTTTTCCAACAGAAAATGTTATCCGGATAATGTTTAGCTATAGAAAATATTATCCGGATAATGTGTAGCTATAGAAAATGTTATCCGCATATTTTTTCCCATAGAAAATGTTATCCGGACAATTTTTTCGTATAGAAAATGTTATCCGGATAATGTTTTCGTATAGAAAATGTTATCCGGATAATGTTTTCGTATAGAAAATGTTATCCGGATAATGTTTTCGTATAGAAAATGTTATCCGGATAATGTTTTCGTATAGAAAATGTTATCCGGATAATGTTTTCGTATAGAAAATGTTATCCGGATAATGTTTTCGTATAGAAAATATTATCCGGATAATGTTTTCGTATAGAAAATTATATTCGGATAAAGTTTTCCTATTTAAAATTTTATCTGGATAACGTTTTCCTATAGAGAATTTTATCCGGACAATGTTTTCCTAAGAAAATGTTATCCGGATAATGTTTAGCTATAGAAAAAGTTATACGCATAGTTTTTTTCCACAGAAAATTTTATCCGGATAATTTTTCCCCATAGAAAATGTTATCCGGATAATCTTCCTTATAGAAAATCTTATCCGTATAATGTTATTGCATAGAAAAATGTTATCCGGATAATGTTTTCGTATCGAAGATGTTATCCGGATAATGTTGTCCGTACAATTTTTCTCATAGAAAATGTTATCCGGATAATGTTATCGTATCGAAAATGGTATCGGGATAATATTATCGTATAGAAAATGTTACGCGGGTAATATTTTGCTATAGAAAATGTTATCCGGATCATTTTTTCTATAGAAAATAGAATGTATTATCGGATTTCCTATGGAAAACAATGTCTGCATAATGTTTCCTGTAGAAAAATGTGTATAGAAAATGTAAACATTCTATCCGATTAATATTTTCTATTAAATATTTTAGCATTAAGTTCTGTTCTGTTTTGAAATATTAGTTTTCCATCCCCGGCTGTTATCAATACATTTTTCTCTTTCTCGTTATCTACCTTATAAATGTTATATTCTGAAAGTTCTAACAAATTACAGGTGAGTACAAAAGAGAGAGCTTTTATCTGCCGTTGCAGATACAAATAGAGAACATATGTATTGTTGTTTTTGCTTTTTCGTATAGATACAAATCATAAACAAAAAACATGTGTTTTATCTGAATTCGAGATAAAAACAATTCACGCACGAACACACAACTAACCTTCTTTAAGTTCTGCCAAGGAAGGCCGATACAATTGTTTCTCCTCGTACAGCAATTCACTGGTATTCAAAGCACTTAAAGTTGCCATTTGTTTTTAATAGAAATATACACCTGGCCTTAAACTTGTTGTATTCTGAAATTAGATTTCAAAGCACTTGTGGATTAGAAAACTCTGTACCTTAGCGGACGACTGAATGTTAAAGACTGACGTCCAAGACGGAATACTTGTTTTCAGCTCACAGCAAAAGCGACTGGCTGACTGAATGTGAGAGTAGCCGCTGTTCCAAGACAACACACACACACCACAACAGCAACAGTAGGTTGTGATCATTACGACAACGCAATCGGTAAGATATACCCTCCTCTGGATTTACCCGCTGCCCCTAAATATTTACAAGTTCTATGGTGGTTCTTTTGAGTAACAGGGCTAACCACCACACCACGTCAGTTGGAGGGTACTGCTGCAGTTGTTGTTGTTGTTACTGCTTCTCGTTCTATGGATTGTTTTGTTTATTTACATAGCTGCTGCCGCGCGTTATCTTTGCACTTCATCATACAGGGTGCGCGGTTTTCAAATCAGCGATAAGATGACTTGGTTTTATTGAAGTGCGAGCGACCGACACTTAATTAGATAAAGGTAGAACCAACCATGTCCCAAATTTGTAGTGAGGAAGCAGCGACCACAATAAAAAAGCACTAATTGTCTTGATTATTCAACACTTATTTGTCTTGCGGAATGATTTATTCAAATGTTTTTTTGCTTCCAACAATTAATTACACTGGATTACAGAAAAAGTTTACGTGTTATACAGTTAGCCGAATCAAATGTTCCCGTAGAAAATGGTTATACGGGAAAACAGGATCCGGATAGTATCCAGATTATATTTTCTATAGAAAAATGTTATTCGGATAATATTTTATATCAAAAAACTTTAAACTTTTCTTTTGAAAAACATCATCCTGATATTGTTTTCTATAGGAAAACATTATCCGGAACATTGTTTCTACAGAAAATTTTTATCCGGAAAATATTTTCTATAGAAAAACATAATCCGGAAAATATTTTCTGTAGAAAAACATTATCCGAATAACATTTTCTATAGAAAAACATTGCCCGGAAAATATTTTCTATAGAAAAACATTATCCGGATAACATTTTCCATAGAAAAATATTATCCGGATAACATTTTCTATAGGAAAGCACTATCCGGATAATATTTTCTGTAAAAAACATTACCCGGATAATATTTTCTATTGGAAAAAATTACCCGGATAACATTTTCTATAGAAAAACATTATCCGGATAATATTTTATATAGAAAACATTATCCGGATAATATTTTCTATATAAAAACATTATCCGGATAATATTTTCTATATAAAAACACTATATGGATAATTATTTCTTTAGAAAAACATTATCTGGATAATATTTTCTATAGAAAACATTATCCGTATGATATTTTATTGGAAAACATTATCCAAATAACATTTTTTTGGGAATTTTCAAAAAATAATATCCGTTAAAAATTCTGTTAAAATCTTAAAAATACCGCATTTAGCCCTTATATGGGTACCTGCACAATTTTCTGTCTTCTGGAAACAATTCCGATGAATAATGTCGCTAAAATAATCAAAATACCGTATATCGTTATATGAGGGCTGTACGAAGACGTGATCTACCACACGAAATTTTTTGTCATAGGCTGTAGTATCCATTACGAACTTTAAATACGCAATTTGAAATAATTCCGGTAATAATGTCGCTAAAATCATCAAAATACCGAATATTGGGAGGTACCGTTATATGGGGGCTATACGAAAACGTGGATCGACATGGCCCATATACGAAACTACTGGTAAACTTTGCATGTATGCAACATTGTAGCCTTCTATCTCAATTCGTTCGAAATATAGCGTTACTACAATAGACAGACAGACGGACAAGCATCGCTAGATCGTCTTAGGATTTTACGCTGATCCAGAATATATGTACTTTTTAGGGTCTCTTATGAACATTGCGAGGAGTTACAAAAAGTAATGACGAAACTAATATAACCTCCATAGAACGGTGGAGGGTATAAAAATTATACGGATAATATTTTCTGTTATATAATCCAGATAAACATTTAGCATAAATCATTTCCTATGTCTCAATTTATTTCTATATAAATTGTTTTGTAGACTGTTGTATTTAATATAAGATTGATAAGAATTTTCCATCCACAAACAAAATATATTCAAAACTATTTGCAAATTTTTTTGCGGCCCGAATGTTAGTTTCAACGATGATAAGATTAAAGATCAGTTCACACCTAATCGTCTTCATAGATTTGAGGGGGCGAAAGTGTTATCAGTTGCAAGTTCAACAAACCTAACAAATGTAGAAGTTCCTTTTCAAAAACTCCTCAGTTTTTCTAATTCCAAGATGGGATTACAAAAGTCTTCTAAAGAACTTTACGGAAGCAAATTTTGGCAATAAAATTTACAATTTGGACGCCTCAAAATCATTCTGAGGCTATTTTCAAAATAAAAATTGGTAAAAAATTAGGAAGTTATGTGTAGGCAGGCCAAATAAGTGACAGCATTTCTATATAGAGCATCGCATGGTAGAATTACAAGGTAACCCTTTCAGGCCAGCTGGTATCAATTTGATATGTCAAAAAATTGTTGTAATTTGAATTCGCCTTCATTTACACATAAGAAAATTGTTGCATGATTTCAAACTTTAACAATGCTATTGATAGAAAATCGAGATTTTACGTTTTTATAGAGTATGAGGGAAAAAGTGTATATTCAACATATGGTAGGCATAGGTAATATGGAGATCTAAAATTCGTGGATATTTGAAATAAGTGAAACAGGGAATCAATTTCATTTAGGAAATAAACCGATACATGGAATTTCATCATCTTATTTGTACGGATTTTCAACTATGTTATACACTATAGGGCTTCAACAGTGAAAGGTGAATGATTCCAAAGCATATTGGATTGGTTTGGGGAACAAAATATTGGCAATTTTTGGGGTGTGATTAAATATTGAGATAATTTTTTTATTTCAAATTGTTCGAATGTATTAAAGTTATCTATGCTTAAAAGACTTCCTGTCTGCTATACATTTCATGGCTGAGCAAATAATATGCCTGGACTCACAGTAGACTCAACCCCCCTGTATCTTCTGCAATCTTTGATCCAAATCTTAAGTAAGCCTGAGGAGTAAATATACCCTAAAGTACCTTTTAGGTAGCATGTCACTACAGCGAGAAAGCTGACGATGTAGCAAAAGAAAAAAGGGTACACCCCAGAACCACCACAAAACCTAATTTTAAAGCATCAAAAATAATTTTCCGGATATTTCCTTTAAAGAACATTATCGCTGTTGAATATGAAATCAACGTTGCCAACGTTACCAAGACTGCATGCTGTGTAAGGATGATGAAGAGATAACAACGATTGGACATCTATTATCGCAAATGTCCTTCGTTGGCGCGCTGGAGACTACAATCACTCCATTTCCAGTCTATGTGATTTTCAAAAATGTTGTATTGAACGTGCTATAATCAAACCAAGATGCAGCGGCTTCAGCATTACTTTCAATCGATGTTGGAAGTTTTGAATATTTGCTTTTGTAATAGAAAAAAACACAATTTTGAAAAATTTTAATTCAATATTTTGATTGGAAAAATAATTTGCCCCAAATTTTGTACTTCAAATCAATTCGCCCTGACTACAACTTTGACATATCAAGTTTCCAAAAAAAGTTGCTTTGTTGTAATTTTCGCCTATGTTGCTACCTGGTATTTCTACCATGGAGCATCGATTTCCATGTGGTTATAGGTAGTTTTCAAAAGTATAAAACATAGCTAAACAAAATGGAAATTTTACGTCAAAAAGTGTAAAAATTGAATTTGCTTTTAAAAAATAAAATTATTAAAAAATTTTCTTCTGGTTTTTCGTTTGGCTCGACGTCAGAATTTAAAAAAACAGACGAATTTGTTTTTTTTATATATATATATATATTAATTTATTTGTCCGATATTTAGACTATCTTCGATAGTCATCATCAGGGATTTGAATTGGATTTTAACTCTTCTGTTTTTAAGTTCTTTGATGCAGCTTTTGCCAGAGCCAAACGAAAAACCAGAAGAAAATATATTGATCAAAGGTCAACAATAACTATACATATTAAAAAATAAATTTCAACACTTGAAAAACAATTGGAGAATATAGGAACATTTTCCTTAAAAAAAGTATTGGATTGGAAATTTCTTAAAATATTTATATAATAAAAAACTTACCAATTGGTCAGAAAGTATTGGCACTTTCATTAAAAGATGAATCTCTGGTTTACACTGATCAAAGATTATTATTTAGGATGCACTTATTGAACATACAATCACTATAAATTAAATATGAATTAAGTACGCATTCTAATACCGAAGGTTTGAATTTTTATCTAGTAAAATCATTTTAAGTCCACGAGCCTTTTGCGACATATCGGTGCACAAGTCTCTGCTTTGATGCTAGTCTAGAAATCCAACGACATCCAATGTCCTTACAAACTTATAGCACCTTAAAAACACAGAGAATAAGGAACTATGATGACACCAAAGATCACAAAACACTCCACTACATAAAAAGGTGCTAGCGTTTCAAATACTTTTTTGATTATTAACTGAGATTTCACTGAAAAATATGTGGTTTTGCATCAACTGCCCACCAATATAGACATTTATCTTCTAGAATCACATTTCACTCAGGCATTTGCTAGCTTCTTATAGACGAAAAACACTTAAACATCCCGAGATTGGAAAGAAAAACGATTAAACGACACAATATAATCAAAATTTAACAATTATTTTGTTTATTTAAATGGTTTTCAAACGATTTTCAACGATAAACATAACCTTTGACGGAATTGCCGTCAATCATTTGCCAGCTTCTCACAAGCGAAGAACACTTAAAAAGCCACAAATTTTATACAAAAACGATTAACCGACACTATCCAATGAAAATTTAACAATTATTTTGTTTATTTAAATGTTTTTCAAACGATTTTCAACGATAAAACAAATTTTTGGGGAAATTGCCGCCATTTTCCAATAAGACCGGGAATCGCACTGAACATACCACATTGAACATGCAGTGTTGTATTTCTTTACTGCAAAGTCATAAATAGTAGTTAGTGCATGACGTACAGTATAAAGAATGCTATAAAACTCCGTTTTGTAATAAATTAACGATATAAGCGGTAGTTACTATTAAATTTAATATTAAAACAAAAAATTTTCAAGAAAATAAGTAATTGATACGTTGTATTAACTTCGTTTGTTCTAAACAAAACCCAAGAGATAAAGGTGCGCGTGGCTATAGCTCCATTTAAGAAGCTTGTTAGCAATAGTCATGGAATTTCATTTTCGTTGGTTGGAATAGCCACCACAAAAAGGTAGCTATGTGAGATATTTGTAAGATTTTAAATTTCTGAACAACTTTTTTTTGTTCTTCTTTATTGGATATATAGGATTAAATGTTAATAAATACAACAACCAAAACAAAATCATTTGATAAAAAATTATTGTAGGAATGTTGGGTATTTCTCGAGAAGACCCGTATTTGTTGTTGTTGTTGTTACAGCTACACACGTTTTGTTTGATTTCGCTAATCCAGCTATATAACTCCAGAGTAGGCTAGGTTTGTCATGACAATTGGAGAAGTACCGCGTATTGTGCAAGCCTGTATTACACGCCGGACAGACGTTATACACATCTTCGCAGACATTTGCAACGTATGGAGATGGACTCTAAAGACGGCATTCATATAGTAATTGTTCATGGCATCTGTGACTGCATCAGTGTGAATGCCACTCAGCCCTGCGTGATAGCCTTCTTGATCTAGAGGCTCTCTTTTATAGCATGAGGGAGGAGTTTTATCTACCATATGACGGTTTGGATGATTCCCATAATAACACCCAAGCAGGCACTGCAACGAAACCATATGGTTATGCTGACATACGCCTCCTTATGTATATGACCCGTTTTCAAGAGTTGTTGTGCAAGTAAAAAGGAGTAAGTCGGCCTGGGCGAACTTTGACTGCCCTCCACCATCTGGAACAAATTTGCAAATTTTCAATAAAAATTAAATCCGTTAAAGATTCTGTTAAAATCTTAAAGATGTCTAATATTGCCGTTATATTAGGGTCTATACGAAGACGTGGACCTGCGTAGGCAACATTTGTCATAAGACATTACCTAAAATCGTCAAAATACCAAATGTAGGGAGGTACTGACATATGGGGCCTATACGAAGACATGGACCTGCACAGACAATTTACTGTCACAGGCTGTAGTATCCATTACGTACTTCAAATACCAAATTAGAAAAAAATTCGGTAAAAAATGCCGCTAAAATCAATAAAATGCCGAATATAGGGAGAAACAGTTATATCGGGGCTATACGAAGACCTGCATAGACAATTTTCTGTCACAGGCTGTAGTACCTATTAGGAACTTCAAACGCGAAATTTCAAACAATTCCGGCGAATAATGTCACTAAAATCATCCAAATACCGAATATCGGGAGGTATCGTTGCATGGGGGCTATACGAAGATGTTGACCTGCAAGGACAATTTTCTGTTATAGGCTGTAGTATCCATTACTAACTTCAAATACCAAATTAGAAACGGTAAATAATGCCGCCAAAATCATCAAAACATCGAATATTGGGAGGTGCCATTATATGGCTATACGAAGACGTGGACCTGCACAGAAAAATTTCTGACATAGGCTGTAGTATACATTACGAACTTCAAATGCCAAATTTAAAACAATTCCGATAAATAATGCAGCTAAATTTATCAAAGTACCGAATATCAGAAGATATCGTTATATGGAGGCTATACGAAGACCTGGACCTGCACAGACAATTTACTGTCTTAGGCTGTAGTATCCATTACGAACTTCAAATACCAAATTAGAAACAATTCCGGTGAATAATGTCGCTAAAATCATGAAAATACCGAATATCGGGAGTTATCGTTGTATTTGGGCTATACGAAGATGTTGACCTGCAAGGACAATTTTCTGTTATAGGCTGTAGTATCCATTACTAACTTCAAATACCAAATTTTAAACATTTCCGGTGAATGTCGCTTAAATCGCCAAAATACCGAATATCGGGAGGTTCCATTATATGGGGGCTATACCTAAACCTACATGGCCCATTTTTAATACCAAATGTGGAGGGTATAAAAAATGTGTTTTGATGGAAGTCAAATATTTTTCCTTTTAACAAATTGCCTGCATTTCGGCAGTTTTCAAAGTGCTACGTTTTAAAATATCGAAAAATATTTTAATTTTAAGAAGATTGTACGTGTTTAAATCACTTCTTTAACGGGCAACTCTGACATTTCTAATCTGAGCTGTAAATCTCTTACGACAAATGGTTGGCGGACACGTAAGAATCCATATCCAAATCAGTTTTAAAACTGTGACATCCATCATCTTTTTTCCTAATTCGAAATATCAATTCTTGCTTATTTTGTCTTCAACTGCTTCAAAATTGCAAGTCATCTTCAAAATCTCAAATCTTGTTTAAAACATATCCACTTGCTCCATTCCAATTAACAAATCTAAATATCTCAATAACTTTTTTTTAACAATTTTTTATATTTTTTGTTGGTGTAAAAGAAGAATTCTTCTGAAAGAATGTGAAAAAACAAATTATAGGTCTTTGATTTGTAATGTTTTTAGAATAAAACATTTTCTCTTTTTTTCTATTTTGGGTATTTTCTTGACGTTTTTTGTTTACATAAAGATAAGAAGCATCTTAAGATCTTGGACGTTCCTTCTTTTCCTTGTACAAGGCCAAGAGGGAGACGTTGGCTACTTTGACAACCTTGAAACGGACACCGGGAATATCACCGACGGCATGACCCTTACGACCGAAACCGGCAACCAAAACTTCGTCGTTTTCTTCAATGTAGTTCAAGCTACCGTCACGAGGTACGAAAGCGGTGATCTTCTTGCCGTTCTTGATCAGTTGGACTCTCACGCACTTACGGATGGCAGAGTTAGGCTGTTTGGCTTCAACACCACTGCAAGGGGAGAACAAGAAAAACATGGAAATATGTTAATAATTGAAAATAATCTTATGTTTACATGGTTTCAAAATAATGCTTGAATGAAGTTGGGGGGACATCTCCTTAACTCACAGTATAATCCTGTGATTTGATTTTAAAAAAATAAACAAAAACACAAAAATATACTGCGAGCCATGGCAAGAGTCAAGTAAATTGTTGATACAGTGTCTTGCTTTTTTTGTGGGAAACACTTGTTTGTTTTTGTTGTTGGTTCACTTGGCATACTTACACTTTTTCAAGTACAATACCCTTGGCATGGGAAGCACCACCGAAGGGATTGGCCTTCCATCTTGTTCCCAAATGGGCCTTTTTGTAGTCCTTGTCAGCCCAACGTTGATCACGACGATGGTTAACGTGCTTTCTGGCTGTGCGGAGACCTCTTGGTTTACCTGTAAGACAAACAGAAGACAGAAAAACATTAGCCAATCTTTTTCCAAAAAATCTCAAATAACATGGATACTTAAAATAAACAATAAAGCGCGCATAGCCACAAAAAAAACTAACATTCACACAAACACACATACGCTGCAAAACATAAAGGCGTCGTCGTCGGCCCTACTGGTTGGGTGCTTCTTCTGCTTATTTTTTACATTCCAAGGAGGCATTGCCCTTGCCTCATTCATTCATGATTATCCAAATGGATGCACACTTTAAGATTTATGTCATCTTTTTCACATTCCCATTTGCTTTTCAATGAAATCTTCAGTTTTATTTTTACAAATTTGATGTCTTTGATAATTACAGCTTTTTCTGGCATGTTAACACATTTTTTTCTCCATGTCTGACACTTTACTACGACGTCTGTTTTACTATGAGCGGCTTTTTTCGGCTCTCTGAATATTTGACACTTAGAAGTCCATGTTTGTAATTTATCATTTTTTTGGCTATAATTCAGGCAATTTTCACACACAACTTGAGCAACAATTGGTTCAAACACTTTCGCACACATTTTGCATAAATATTTAACAATATTTCTTTGTTTTTCCACTGAAATTAATAAATTTTCTTAACTTACCCATAATTTCCAAACTTTCTCAAGCAATGGCGGAAATAAAAGAGCGAAAATAGAGTTTCGTAAGGCGATTTTCGACCAATCGATTAATCGATAGTGACAAAAATCAATGATGAGTTGTTATCGCATGGAGAGTTACATGACAATCGAATAATCGATATGTTCAGCTGGCGTTGGTACTGTATTCTCCTCTGGTTCATTGTTGAGATAGAAGATGATAATAAAATGTATATCTCTTTGGTCTTAAAGCAAAAATATTGCAAAGCATAGAAATGTGTAGTAAAAGAAAGAGAAAAACAAACAAAATGACAATAATTGTTGTTTTTTAGCTTTCAAAGATATTTGAAATGCCAAATAATGCAACTCTTCATGGTAGGGGTGTATTCTCCCTGCAAAAATGTCTCATGATCATGAGTGGCAAAAGAGTTGCCACTACCAAACTGGCTTGATTTTATGAGAAAGAGAAATTAAGTAAAGTGAAGTAGAAAAGGGAAAGCATGTCAGGCATATAATGGAAGATTAAAAAAGAATGTTCACTGAATTCAATGAAATCATTGTATGAAATTTATAGATTTTTTAAATGAACACTGCGCACAACGGTACAATAGGTGGCGTTTTTGAGTATTTTCACAGCATTGCCACCTGGGTTAATAATGTTGTGAATTGATGACTTACGTATAGACAATAGATGGCGCCCTTTAAATGATAAAAAGGCATTGCCACTTGGGTAAACATGTTGAAAAATAACTTTTGCAAAGAAATATTAACAAAGTATAAGACATTTCTTTTCATGGAAAAATAAAAAAAAATATGAAAGAATAAAAAATTGAATTATTTTTTAATTTTATTTTGCTTTTGAAGAATACAACTTTAGTGTGAATGTGACACTTATTTGGGTGGATTGTGGGCTGTATAAAGATTTGTAACGTACATGAAGTATAGGTGGCGTTGCGAGTAATACTATTCCACATCAAGATGTCAGAAGGGAGTAATATTTTAATAACAAACCGCTGAACACAAACAAATCGATAACTAAACAGGAAAGAATAAAAGCACAAAATGAAGGAAGCCATAAAATATTTTGTTACATTTGACCAAAAACACACATTTACACGCCGAGGGCTGTACAAGACAATATAGGGTGTTGCTGTTGGGGGTGTTGGGAATTGCTAAATTATTAACTCTTTATCCTGCATTAGCAGATAACCTGAAGATTATTTGAAATCAGAGTTGTATTTTACTACGAAAGACACACTTATTCTAGAGCATTTCATGGATTGTACATTCATTGACATGAAAATAACACTATTAAATATTATTGAAAAAAAAAAAAAATAATAATAAAAAAACTGTAAGGCCGAATACCCTCCACCCTTTGGAACAAATTTTGCAATTTTCAAAAAATAAAATCCGTTAAATTCTGTTAAAATCTTTAAAATACCGAATGTAGCTATTATATTAGGTTCTATACGACGAATTGGACCTGCATAGGCAATAGCCATAAGTCATTACAATATTAAAATGCGAAACTTCAAAAAATCGGTGAATAATGTTCCTATAATGGATGAGAACAAAAAAACTGCATCAAAGTCAAACGCCATAATTTTGACATTTTTATTTTTAATTTTATTGAATGAAAGCAATAGCAGAAATAGCATCAAATTTTAGAATAAGTTTAGATTTGTTCGAATTGGTCACCTTTGACACGAATTATGGCCTTCAAACGGCCAATGAAGCCGTCACACGCTACCCGAATGTTGCTCTGTGGTATTTTGGCTCATTTCCGGCGAAGCGCTTGCTTGAGGTGATCGACACTTTGGTATTTTTTTAGTGCCAACCTTGGAAATGAAGCGAGGAACCTCATTTTGTTACCATTCTTGGGTGGCGCATGCTGAGTGCGATGGTGCTGAGTCCTTAGTCCTGTTGGAATGTCCGAGGTCTCTGGCCAAAATCTGTGGCAACAATCAGCTGTTATTCTGGTGCACACTTTCAGCTGACCTCTCTGACAAGTAAAAACGATCGTTTTGTTTGTTTAAAAAAGAACGTTTTCTTATCGGAGAAAACCAAATTCGGCAGTTCACCACTTTCGGCCAAGCGAAGTAACTCTTTAGCTCTTTTGAGCCTATTTTCTTCCTGTTGCGGTGTAAGTTCTTGCACTTTTTGGAATTTCAATGGCTTTACCCCGAGCTGATTTTTCAATATTTGCCGAATGGAATATTGCGATATGTTCAGCTTACGAGCCATTTTTCAGTTTTTTTTTTTTTTCATCTCACCCGGTATATGTTCTGTTCTAGGTTCCCGAATTTAATAAGTTTTGCGACAAATAAATCCTAATAAAGAGAAATAAAACGGCAAGAAGCTTTTATGTAAACATACTATAAGTCGAATTTAGACGTTTTTAATGTGAGAATACTTAAAAGGCTTTTTTGACAGGCTTAAGTCATCGGCTGGCTTCTTCGGAGAAGAACATAGGAGCGTAGTTTTCGATAACATAAAGGAAAATCGGTTATCGTAGTTAATTTTTTTTTTTCATTCTTGCAGTTCTGGAACAGAGCAATTATTAATAAGGTATGTTCAAAGTATAGGTGAGAATACATAAAACGATTTTTTTTTACTTAAGTCATCGGCTGGCTTCATCGGAAAACAACAAAGGAGCGTTGGGTCAAAATCGAACTAAGTCAACCTAAAACCTCATTGTTCCTCTACAAAGAAGCTAGGCAATGACTAAAGCCAGTCAAGAAAGTATGTTATGTATTTTCACCTTCAGCATTTCCCAACCAAATTACTCAAGTTTTTCACGATGCCAATCAGACAGACTCCATTATTGAATAAATTGAATTATATAAATTAATTTGCAATAATATAAATTAATCTCAATATCATTGTGAACACATCAAATGCTTGAACACTTCAAAACCCTTTGGATCATAAGCAAAAAAAATCGTACAACATAAATAAAAAAGATACAAATGATTGGTTATAAATTTTCATGCATCAATTCCGATACATCTGACATGGGATAATTTATAATGACACCTCACATTGGGCGCCACAGAGAGGTGTAACGAAACAGAGAGAAAGAGAGAGCTAACAGACATAATTAACTCTTACAAATATTTATATTTAGTAACGCATTAACGATTTCGAGGTCGAACAACTTTTGTTTCAAAAAAAAAAATAAATAAATAAATAAAAACGTGATTTGTCTATTTTATTTTTGTAAAATACAAATTTTTAATTTTTTTTTCTATTAGCCTCAATTAATCATTGTCGATATCAATTAATTGATTTCGTGAAGGTATTGAAACATAAAAAAATGCTATAAAATTAATTAAAATGCCACGCCAAAAGAAGAAAATCCCAGAAAAATACAACAACACCAATGAAGTGTTGACGGCTACCCCAGCAAAACAATTTGCCTTTGTCAGTTACTTTTTTTTTGCAAAGAGAGTCTTCCTTACTCCCCTTTCTAACTCTCTCTCTCCCTCTCTCTCCTAGAGTGTGACTTTTAATTGCAGCGCATGTGCACATTTTTCTCCCTCCCATATACGATAAACATTTCATCTTGATTAGACTTGCTCCAATGTCTTCAATGATTTTACTCCAATGTTGATTGGCGCCTATTAACACAGCAACACGGCACACAACAAGTAACAACAACAACAGCGCCATTCATTGAGCCTACAACATGTGACGCACTGAAACGCTTTGCTGTGTGGTTTTTTTTGTTTTTTTTTTTTTGGAATTTGGCCTAAGAAGACTGTGCCATATAAGAGCTATTGGTTATTTTGTTGTTGTACCATGAATTTGTATATATTGATATTGTACAATTTTTGTTGTTGTTGCTCTTTTTTATACAGTACGTCCAACAGAAAACTTATCGCAACACATACTACACACGTTCCAATCAGCCAAAAAAATACAAAAAAAAAAAAAGAAGGAATGAAGCATAACCCCACACACTTTTGAAGACATATGTTGCGGCGCTGTGGGTACGCTACAGTGTTTTCAGAGGAAATGATTCGTGGCAGTGCGATTTTAAAGATCTTTTAAAGATTGGAAAATCTTGTTCCTTATCCTTTACCTTGAGTATACCATGAAAATAATTGCTCTGTTCCGGAACTACAAGACTTTAAAAGTTTTAACTACGATAACCGATTTTTCCTTAATGTTATCGAAAAATAAGTAAAAAAGCTGTAAGGGGCCGGGTCGAACTTTGAATACCCTCCACCATTTGGAACGAATTTGGCAATTTTCAAAAAAAAAAAAAAAACCGTTAAAAATTTTGTTCAAATCTTAAAAAATGTAGCCATTATATTAGGGTCTATACGACGACGTGGACCTGCATAGGGAAGTTTTGTCATAAGTCATTACAATATTTAAATGCGAAACTTGAAAAAAATCGGTGGATAAAGTAGCTAAAATCGTCAAAATACCGAATATATCGAGGTACGATTAAATGGGGGCTATACCAAAACGTGGATCTGCATAGACAACTTTCTGTCATAGACTGTAGCATCCATTACGAATTTCAAATACCAAATTTGAAACAATTCCGGTGAATAATGTCGCTAAAATCATCAAAATACCGAATATCGGGTGATACCGTTATATGGGGGCTATACCAAAACGTGGACCTGCACAGACAATTTTCTGTCATAGGCTGTAGTACCCATTACGAACTTCAAATGCCAAATTTGAAACAATTCCGGTGATTAATGTCACTAAAATCATCAAAGTGCCGAATATCGGGAGGTACTATTATATGGGGGCTATACAAAAAAGTGGACCTACACATACAATGTTCCGCCAACCGGAGTTAGAACCCATTATGACCACACATATACCAAGTTTTAGACAAATCTATGGAAAATGTGGCGAAAATCATCAAAATTCCGAATATCGGGAGTTACGGTTATATAACGGCTATGCCAAAACGTAGCCAGAATACTACGTAGCACACTTTCTATAGGTGAGGATACCTAAAACTCTCTTTTGACTGGCTTAAGTAAAAAAAAAATGTCTCGTCAGCTGAACATATCGCAATATTCCATTCGGCTGGCGAATATTGAAAAATGAGCTCGGGGTAAAGCCATTGAAATTCCAACAAGTACATCGAATAGAAAATAGACTCAAAAGTGCTAAAGAGTTGCTGCGCTTGGCCGAAAGTGGTGAACTACCGAATTTGGTTTTCTCCGATGAGAAAACATTCGTTGTCCAGCAGTTTGTAAACAAACAAAAAATGATCGTGTTTACTTGCCATAGAGGTCAGCTGAAAACGTGCACCTTCGGTTGGCCACCAGAACTCAAGCGCCGGCCATGGTGATGCTGTGTGCCTCCCATAACAGCCGATGGTCGCTCTCCGTTCGTATTAATCGACCGTGGCATCAGAATAAATCATCATAAAAAAGCAGCTAAATGCGGCTGGGTCGAACTTTTGATACCCTCCATCATTTGGAGGGAACTTGAAAATTTTCAAAAAAAAATTCCGAAGACTACCACTTAAATGGAAACCGTTATAAGGGGACTATTCGAAAACGTGAACCTGCATGGGAAATTTTTTGTCATAGGCTGTACGAACTTTAAATACGAAATTTGTTACAATTCCGGCAAAAATCATTAAAATACCGATTGTCGGGAGGTACCATCATATGGGGGCTCTACGAAGACTTGGACCTGCATACGAAATTTTTTGCCATAGCTTGTAGTACCCATTAAGACCTTCCAATACGAAATTTGAAACGTTTTCGCCGAATAATGTTGCTGAAATCATCAAAATACCGACTATCGGGAGGTACCATCATATGAGGGCTCTACGAAGACTTGGACCAGCATACGACATTTTTCGCCATAGGTTGTAGTACCCTTTAAGACCTTCCATTACGAAATTTGCAACGATTCCGGTGAAAAATGTTGCTGAAAACATCAAAATACCGACTGTTGGGGGGTACCTTTATATTGGGGCTATACGAAAACCTGGACCGTCCCATTTACAAACTTAACCTGCCTACTTTCAAAATAAACTTGTGTGCAAAATTTTAACCTTCTATCTCATTTCGTTCGAAAGATAGCGTGATTAAAACAGACGGACAGACAGATACACAGACAGATGGACATCGCTAGATCGTCTTGGAATTTTTCCGCTGATCCACAATATATATACTTTGTAGGGTCTATTATGAATATTTCGGGAGCACCATCCATGGAATGGTGGAGGGTATAAACATTAAAAAAAAATTGACATATCAATGTTCCCAAGCGTTGATGCACCTTCTTCGTTGATCATATCGTAGAAAAATATAGGTAGACGCATCGACACAGCTGCTGAGACAATGAACTGTCAAACCAATTTTGGAATTGAAAATGTTGAATGAAAAATTATTTCAATTTGTAAAAATTGTTGAAAAATCCGAATTATAATAACCTCCGAATGACGTCGTATTAGAAAACATATAAAAATCTACTTATATTTGATAAAACATTTAAAAATTTTTGACATATCAATGTCACCAATCGTTGATACATCTACCTGTATTCTTCTGCCATGTTTTATCAAGAAAGAAGGTTGATCAAGGTAAATATCACTTTTTTTGAAACACTCTCATTTTGTTGCATCAAAATTTACACGTGTAAACTGGGGCTTACTGACCATGGGGATTCCACGCTCAGTAAGCCCCCGTTTACACGTGTGAAGTTTTGCTGCAACGAAATGTGAGTGTTTTGGAGAGAGGTCTAGAGAAAAAATGACATTTACCTTGATCATTTCTCTTCTTACTCCCAAAGGTCACCTTGCGTTTCTCTATGAAGTGAAGAGTTGTATTTGCCTCGGATATCCAGCATTCCGATTATGCTCAATAATGTTGTGGAAAATTTCCAAAATTTCATCTTAAGCTGCGAACTTTTTTCCGATTGTATAACCCCATTGTCAATGTTTCGCTTGCGTACGTGGGACGCGGTTTTCATCTCCCGAAATAAAAACACACACACACGCACACAGAAAAATTCCTTTAGCCGCCGCAATTCTCTTGATATGGGAAAATGTTGTTGTTGTTTCCTCTTCTTGTTTTGCGGTGCGTTCTGTGTGCACATCTTGGCCCGAGTTTGTTTCGTTTTCAATGCGACTTTTGCTGCGTTCGCCGGCTGGCTGGTGGATATTTCATATTTGGTTGTTGTTCATTTGGTGAGAAGAAGATGGTGTTTGCATTTTTATGTTTTTCCATTTGCGAACGAGAACAAGAACAACAACATATCGATTGCGGCCCATTGGGGATCTCCGCTCTCCAAATATCGCATGGGTTATTTCCGTACTCCGAGTACAAGCAGCCGCAAAGAAAGAAAACACACATCAAAAAACCGAACAACTTTCTGAGGCGATGATAACAGCCAGTCGTCCAGCCAGGCAGCCAGAAAGTCAAAGCGATATAGAAGCAGCAGCAGCAGACACCACATTCACAGCGAGCAGGCCAGCAGGCAAGCAAAAGTGAACAAGCAGCAATCCCAACGAATCCAACCAGACCAGACCAGACGACCCACCAAGCAGTCAAACTGCAAACAGCCAGTTCACTTTAGGCAGTCGCAAGGAACGGTTGGTTGTTGGTTATTTCTAGAAACTAGAAATTAAAAAAAAAAAAAGTAAACACACACACAGACATACAAACGAAGCACGCAGACGGTTAGTAAAAAAACAGAAACAAAAATAAAACAAAAAAACTCATAAGCGGCGCGTGAATCGCTATGTCGGTCGTGAGATATATAAGAGCCAGAAACCAAAAAATTAGCGGTCGCCTGAGCAGTACCAATGACAATATAAGCATGGATACAAATTACGCCACAGCTAAGCCATATTTTTTGGGGGGAATTCAAATGTTTACCACTCTCAATTATTCCGATTTGAATTGATTTTCGAAGCCGCAGAAGTTGCTCTCCAATCAGCCAAAAAAGATACTTTCGTTTTTCACTCCGAAGTGTTGTTGTTTTTTTTTTTTGGTGAGGGCATGGGGGGTCATGCCTTAGCATTCATGAATGAAATTCGGAATTGTTTGATTTTCGATACGATTTTGTCACCGAAAAAATACCTCATGGGACATACATAGGTATTTATAACAAAAAAAAAAAAAGTATTTATCTTCATCTCCTAAATACCGCCAACCCGTACCTGTAGCTCCACAACGCACGCACTCACACACAGGCGGCAAACGTAAAAAAAACAACAACCAGCATTTTTCTCAGTTCATTTCTTTTTCACGTTCTTCTGTTTTTTTGTCATCAGAGAAAAGTTCAATTTTCCGCTCTCGCACTCCCCAATCATTGTCTGTGAAACGCGCGCGCGGTTTTATTTGTTGTTGTGTTCTCATTAGAAGTGGAGTACGCGCAAAGCGTATGCGTTGGGCGCTACTCAATCGAATTCGATAAAAAAGAACAACAAAATCACATGCGGTGTTGTTGTTGTATTTTGATTAATTTTCTTTAATTTGTTATTGGTGTTATTGTTGTTGTCGTTCTTATTACTGCTGCTGCTGCTAACTTTTGGTGTTTTGAAATATATGTTGTATGTTTTGTCGTCGACGCCGCTGCCGCCGCCGCAATACGGATTTATGGACGACGCGTATAAAGAATGCGTTTCTTGCGATCATTCGGTGTCAACGTTTTTTGTGTTTTATATAAAAAAATAAGAAAGAAATGAAACAAAGAGAACAAACAGAGAGATAAATACATTCTTTTTTGATGATAAAAATAAAACGGATGAATTTGAAAAAAAAATTAAAATTAAAAAAAACACATATATTTCTGTGTCTAAAAAAGTTTGAAAAAAAAAACGGAAACTAAATAGAAATAAATTTCAAAATAAAAATAAATAATATAATAATATTTATAAAAAATATAAAAATTATGTGGAATATTTATGGCTAAACATTGATTCGAAATCATTTATATATTTTATTCTAATCCCTCAACAAGTGGTTTTTATTTTTTCAAAAACTTAAAATAATATCCAAGGCCCCATAATATTTAGAAAATTATTTTCAAAACAAACGAGGAAAAAAACCTATATATTTGTAAAAAATGTCATAAAAATTTTGAAACTGAAAATATCTTCTATAGTATGTTTACATGAGAGTTTTTCTAATGGGCTTATTAAAACCAGTAGACTGTAAACGTAGTATAAGATTACATATTAAACATGGTAGAAGAATATAGGTAGACGTATCGACACAGCTGCTGTGACAATGAACTATTAAACCAGTTTTGGAATTGAAAATGTTGAATGAAAAATTATTTCAATTTGTAAAAATTGTTAAAAAGCGCGTATTATAATAACCTCCGAATGTCGTATGATAAAACATATAAAAATCTACTTATATTTGAAAAGACATTTAATTTTTTTGACATATCAATGCTCCCAAGCGTTGATGCATCTATGTACCTGTATTCTTCTGCCATGATATTAAACATGGTAGGAGAACACAGAGGTAGATGCATCAACGCTTGGGCAAATTTATATGTCAAACTTTTTAAAATTTGTTTCTATGTTCTATTATGTTTCTATTCTTCCGGCAGAACTTTAAATACCCTCCATATTTAGGAACAAATTTTGGCAATTTTTAAAAAAATAAAATCCGTTAAAAATTCTATTAAAATCTTAAAAATATTGAATGTAGCCATTATATCAGGGTCTATACGACGACGTGGACCTGCATAGGCAACTTTTGTCATAAGCCATTACAATATTCAAAATCTAAGCTAAAATCATTAAAATACCGAATATAAGGAGGTAACATAATATGAGGGCTATACCAAAACGTGGACCGACATAGACAGTGTTCTGTCATAGGCTGTAGTATCCATTACGAACTTCAAATGCCAAATTTGAAACAATTCCGATGAATAATATCGCCAAAATCATCAAAATACCGAATATAAGAAGGTAACATTATATGGGGGCTATACGATGGCGTGGACCTGCACAGACAATTTTCTGTCACAGACTGTAGTATCCATTTGGAATTTCAAATACCAAATTTGAAACATTTCCGGTGAATAATGACGCTTAAAACATCAAAATACAGAATATATGGAGGTACCATAGTATGGAGGCTATACGAAGACTTGGACCTACACAGACAATTTTCTGTCTTAGGCTGGGGAATCCATTACGAACTTCAAATACCAAATTTGAAAAAGTTTCGATGAATAATGTCGCTTAAATCACCGAAATACCGAAAATAGGGAGGTACCATTATATGGGGGCTATAGGAAGACGTGCACAATTTTCTGTCATAGGCTTTAGAATCCATTACAAACTTTATGTACCAAATTTGAAACAATTCCGGTGAATAATGTCGCTAAAATCATCAAAATACCGAATATCGGGTTGTGCCATTATATGTCGGCTACACGAAGACGTGGACCGAACGAAGTATTCGATTTGATCCAAGCTTGGTACATCGTAATATTATTGTTAAACTTAGATCGAGTTCGGAGATGGTCAATAACGGTCCACTCCTTCTGGTACCTCCCCCACAAAATGTCAACATTTTCAAAGAAACTGATTTACTGCACCGAAAGAGAAAGGATAATCCGATTTTGTTTCAACTTTGCAAATCCTAATATTTGCATCAGTTCTAGGTCAGGTGAGAAAATGGACAATATCGGTTCACTCCATCAAGTACCTCTCCAACAAAAGGTCAAAATTTTGAAACAACTCTTATAAATTGTGATATAAGTGTTTGATTGTCTTCAAATTACACACATCACAATATTTTTATTAACACAAGGTCCGGTGTGAAATTGGGAAATATCGGTTCACTCCTTCTGGCACCTACCCCACAAAGGGTAAACATTTTGAATATTCATGAAGCTGATAAAACACGAAATTAACATTCGATTCCATTCCGACTTGGCACATCTCAATATTTCCATTAACACAAGATCTGTTATAAAAATGGTAGAGATCGGACCATTCCTTCTGGTACCTCCCACACAAAGGGTCAAAATTATGAATAACCGATCATAAAATCTGTAAAAAAGCTTCCGATACTTTTCATATTTCACACATCCCATTATTTCTACTAACACAAGATCTGCTGTGAAGATGAGATATATCGGTGCACTCCTTCTGGTACCTCCCGCACAAATGGACCACATTTTGAAGATCAAAACTCTCAAAAAACGCCAAAATTGTTCTCATTACAAACTTCAACTACGAAATTTCACAGAATTTGGGTAAATAATGTCGCTAAAATCATCAAAATACCGAATATCGGGAGGTACCATTTAAATTGGGGTTATAGGAAGACGTGGACCTACATGTGAAATTTTTAGGCATAATTTGTAGCACTTCGAATACGAAATTTGAAACCATTCGGGTGAATGATGTTGTTAAAATCTTCAAAATCCCGATATTCGGTATCGTTATGTGGTGGGTATACAAAAAAGTTGACCGATATGGCCCGTTTTCGAACTGGCAAAATACATATGTGTGCAAAATTTTAGCCTTCTATGTCAATTCGTTCGAAAGATAGTGTGATTACAACAGACAGACAGACGGCGGACAGACAGACGGCGGACAGACAGACGGCGGACAGACAGACAGGCGAACATCGCTAAATCGTCTTAGAATTTTACGTTGATCCAGAATATATAAACTTTGTGGGGTCTATCACAAATATTTCGAGAATTAATGAATATTTCGAGAATGATTTAACCCGGCAATGAGAAAACTCAAATGTAAACATACCATAAGTTCAAAAATATCTAATGAAATCGATCAATGTTTATTAATTTAATTAACAACGAATCTATATTTCCACAACAACAACAATAATAACAGTTTCATACATCCCCCACGCAAAACCTAAATAAAACAAAAAACATTTTCTTTTTGTTTCACACACACACATATACAGAGAAAGGGGGCTGCAACACAATTAACAACTTTTTATTTTAATCGCTTAATTCAACCCATAAAGGTAAATAATATCAATTACAACAACAACAAAAACAAGTAACCAGATATCCCCAACAACAACAACAAAAAGTTGTCAACAAATAAACAGCGCAGCAGCCGCATTCATTCATACAGCATTTACTCACTGAAAAAGGTAAGTAACGAAAACCCACGACCCACGACGATGAGGTAGAAGAAGAAAACGACAACGACGAATGAGTAGAGTAGTGAGTGGTGCATGGCACAAAACACATTTACTAGGTGGTAGTTGTATTTGGTTGGTGTTTCTTGTTACTGGTAGAGGAGAGTGAGAGTGAGAGCAAGAGCTCCAACATTATTTGGCACCCAGAGTCAGTCATCATCACTCATACAAGTGTTTGCTTAGGGGGGTCTAAATGTGAGTGTGAGAAATTGTTGCATATTTATGTGGTGATGGCCCAAAGAGCGAGAGACATATGGTGGAATCTGTCATATGGGATAACGTTGTTTTTGATCTTGGTTGGCGATGGGAGGAGGAGGAAAAGGAGAGTAGATGTTTGTTGCTATCTTGTGATGTCCATTTCACGCAATTGGAAGTGGTTTAACCGGCACTTCTAGTCAACAACAATAATAATAACAAAAAAAAAAAAAAATACTACCACAAATAAAAGGGTGCTAATCGATTGATTAATGCAATGAATATTTTTTGGAGGGTAAACACAGTGACGTAGACACATTCGATGAATGACTTGGTCATTTTTTTCGAAACGATAAAAAAGTTTGGAAATTTTCAATAAATTAAATTGTTTATATATTTAATTATCTAAAGCATATTTATTTATGCATGTGGTGCTGTGTGTCACGTGTTGTCCGGGGGGAAATTCCTAGCCCTGTTTCATTATCATTTAAATGTGATGACATTTTCAAAGAAAGGTGTGTCATCATCCTCATCAGTTATGCTCTTGCGTTTGTTTGAAAAGGCCGGCCCACAAATTGTGAAAGAGTCTAAATAATAAACATAAGAGGGGATAGTATACGGTGTTTACACCTAAAGTTTCATCAGCTAAACCTTGCTGTGGGATTATGTTTTGTTTTTCTTTTACGAAATGGTAGTTTCAGATTTCATGATGGATTGATGGAATTTATTTGTTAGCAGGCATGTCGTAAAGAACTTATAGTTTGTTTTGCATAGTCACCGACGATAACGTTCATATCGCATTGCGAAATTCATTCAAGGTTGCAGTCATATGTGATTTTTATCAAAAAATGATAAGTTTATTTTTTGGGGGAAAGGAAACAGTAGCAGCCTTTAAACAAATTAGATACAAAATATGATTCATTTGATAACATGCCAAGCCTTTACTTTCTAATTTAATGATATTGCGGAATAAAGTTAGAAAAATTGTTATAGGTACATGACGTGACAATCAATGCTAAACTGAACATGGCAACCCTTTTCCAATGAACTTGACCTTGTCATTTTTATACCCTCAGCCATATGGCTAGAGAGGGAATTTATGATTTGATATGGCCAAAACGTGCCTTATTGAAATAACGCTTTTAGACCCTAGGTCTCTTTGGACCAAACCCGTTTCAGGACATTTGGAGTCGATCTAGCCATGTCCGTTCGTCCTTCTGTGTCTGTCTGCCTGTCTGGCACGCACAATAACTCTCGAAGGGAGTGCCCGATTTAATCCAAACTTGGTACATCGTAATGTTATTGTCAAATTTATATCGAGTTCGGAAATGGGCAATATCGGCCTACTCCTTCTGGTACCTCCCCCACAAAAGGTCGAAATTTTCAAAGAAAATAATTCACTGCACAGCAAGAGAAAGGATAATCCGATTTTGCTTCAACTTTGAAAATCCTAATATTTCCATCAGTGCTAGGTCAGGTGTGAAAATGGACGATATCGGCCAACTTCTTCTGGTGCCTCCCCCACAAAGGGTCAATATTTTGAATAATTATAACTCTTATAAAATGTGGGGTAAGAGTTCGATTGTCTTCAAATTTCACACATCGCAATATTTTTATTAGTACAAAGTCTGGTGCGAAGATGGAATATATCGGGTCAAAATTTTGAATATTTATGAAGCTCAAGCACGAAATTAACATCTGATTCCATTCAGACTTGGCACATCTCAATATTTCCATTAACGCCAGATCTGTTATAAAGATGGTAGAGATCGGAACATTCCTTCTGGTACCTCCCCCACAAAGCATTAAAATTTTGAATAGCCATGAAGCTCATAATACACAAAATTATCATCCGATTTCATTCAAACTTGGCACATCTCAATATTTCCATCAACACATGATCTGTTCTAAAGATGGTAGAGATCAGACCATTCCTTCTGGTACCTCCCCCACAAAGGGCAAAGTTCGGAATAACCAAAACTATAATAGAATCCGAAATAAGCATCCCGTTCTCTTAAAATCACACACATAACAACATTTTTATTAACCCAATGTCTCGTGTAAAGATGGGATATATCGATCCACTCCTTCAGGTACCTCCCGCACAAAGCGTTAACATTTTGAATAGCCATGAAGCTCATAATACACAAAATTATCATCCGACTTCCTTCAGACTTGGCACATCTCAATATTTCTATCAACACAAGATCTGTTATAAGGCTGGTAGAGATCGGACCATTCCTTCTGGTACCTCCCCCACAAAGGTCAAAGTTTCGAATAACCAAAACGGTCATAAAATCCGAAATAAGCATCCAGTTCTCTTCATATCACACACATCACAATATTTTTATTAACCCAAAGTCTCGTGTAAAGATGGGATATATCGGTGCACTCCTTCAGGTACCTCCCCCACAAAGGGTCAAAATTTTGAATATTCATGAAGCTCATAAAACACGTAATTAACATCTGATTCCGTTCAGACTTGGCACATCTCAATATTTCTATCAATACAAAATCTGTTATAAATCTGGTAGAGATCGGACCACTCCTTCTGGTACCTCCCCCACAAAGGGTTACAATTTTGAATAACCAAAATTATCATAAAATCCGAAATAAGCGTCCGGTTCTCTTTAAATTACACACATCACAATATTTTTATTAATCCAAAGTCTGTTGTAAAGATGGGATATATCGGTTCACTCCTTCAGGTATCTCCCCCACAAAGGGTCAAAATATTGAATATTTATGAAGCTCATAAAACACGTAATTAACATCTGATTCCGTTCAGACTTGGCACAACTCAATATTTCTATCAACATAAGATATTTTATAAAGATGGTAAAGATCGGATTATTCCTTCTGGTACCTCCCCCACAAAGGTTTAAAATTTTGAATATTTATGAAGATCTTAAAACACAAAATTAACACCCGATTCCATTCCGACTTGGTACATCTCAATATTTCCAATAACACAAGACCTGTTATAAAGATGGTAGAGATCGGACCATTTTGGGGCTCAAGGTTTTGAAAAACAAAATGCTCAAAGAAAGGGAAATAAGAACTTTAATGCAAAAATGATGATAATTGTACTGGATATCCCGTAATTACTCTATGGCAGTTTATTCGGGCATATGTTTCATTGTTTATTCAGAAAACACCTAATATTTTACTCAAAACATTTTTCCTGATTTTTTAAGGTCTATTGAAAAACGGTGTATTTGAATAACCTAGTATAACATTTTTTTTTTAACTTAATTTAGTTTTACCGAAATTTTTTGAAATTTTTGAAATATCAGTGATCACAAGTTGTGATACATCTACCTGTATTATTCCACCCGGTCTACCAAGTTTTATCAATTTCGAGGTAAAGATATATATATTTTTTTTAATATAACATATGTTCTTTTAATTGCACAAATAAATGGTTTCTTCCGCTTTTTAGAACGTGTCGTTTCCCATAAGTTTTCTCCAAAAACAATTTCGTCGTTATCTTCAATTATTTTGTTTGCTCACGACCCGAATAAAGTGTTCTACTGTCCTGGTTTTATTTTTGGAATTTTTCGTGTGAAAAATATGAGGGCAACTACGTAACTGAAATCAATAACCTATATAGATATTGAAATAATTATCAGCGCGTGGAGAAATGTATTGCATGACAACTTTTTAATTTGATAATTCCCAAAAAAAAATTAATATAATTTTTAATTATTGAAATATTTTTTTTTTAATAATTAAAATTTATACATCTATTAAAATATTATTTCATATTATTTCTTAAAAAAAAAGAAAGAAAAGAAACATTGATAACACATCCATCAATACTTTGTTGTTTTTCGCATACACACATGTATTACTGCACCATCATCAACAATGCATATCAATTAAAGCAAACAAAAAGAAACAACAACAAAAACACTGAGTAAAAAATGTTATGCTAATTATGCAGTTATTTTGCATTTTTTTCTCTCTCACTCTCTCTTTGCCCAAACAAAATGTCTTTGACTGGCAACACCCAGTAATCCTGTTGACTAAGCGTCTCTGCCATTGTTGTTGTCTCGTGGATGGCGCTGACTTTTGTTGTACGCTTTGAGCCAATAACAATTTGCCCCTCTGTAGGCAGTGATTTAAGTACTCGTTCCTCACACATACTGTGTCAGTTAATTCCGATTAGCTTCTACCGCAGTCAGAAATCAATGAACGAGTTAGTGTTGGGAGAATCTTTCAATTCTCTTCGAGGTATATTTATGCAAAGAAATTTCAATGAAAACCCAACAAGTGAATGTGGTCAGGTTGAATATTTTATACCCTACATTATGTCAGCCACATTGAACAAGCCACATTTACGTGGGTTGTGGCAAAACAATAAAGGTATTCTTATTTGTTAAATCGAATATGGCAACCTTTTCAATAAAAAGTATTGTCATACCTAAAATATTTACGTATGACGAGTGGCATATTATTTAAAAATAGTACATTAGCCTTTATTTTTGGAGTTTCTTCCCGAATGACGTTTTGTTTTAAGTCCGTCTTGAAGGATCAACACCACAGAATAAGCATTATATTCTCATCTGATGATAAAACATATAAAAACATATAAAACATTCAAAAAATTCAAAAAATTTTAAAAAATGTAAAAATTATGCGTTTGACTTTCTGGCAGTTTTTTCATCTCACCCTGTATGTTGAATATATGTTTGTTGACGTCTAATATATTGACATATTTATCTATATTTATATGTGTTATCGAAAAGCTACAG